CCCCAAAACCCCAAAACCCCAAAACCCCATAAAGCCATTCAAAATTATTGTAAGGTGGTAAATTAATGTAAAAATAACAATAGATAATTTATGAGTAATCTAAAGTTGATATAATATGTTAAGAATATCTGGAATGGAAAGGTTATTTATTAACATCTTATAAATCTTATGAATATTATAAATTAACGATCCGAGCTAGTGTAAAACAAGGCTCAAAGAATATACCATTCAATATATATCACCCTAATTAGAACAAATCCTAAATATTTATTTCCTAATAGCTAATGAATTATGTGTCCTCATTATTTTACTTCTGATAGTATCTTCTCAAAATTGTCATTAATGATATCCATTAATTCCTTGGGTTTGGGGATTTGAGCTTCATCAGCAATACAAGAAATTTTGATATTGTCAACATGTGACATGATGTTCAATGAAACTCCAATTGAACCCAGTTAAGGAGCATAGAAAACTATTCGATTTACTTTCTTGCCCAGAAAAACAAGTGGTGTGCGGGGTCCTGGTACATTAGAGAAGACCATGCATATCTTTTAAGCCTAGTCTTAAAATATCAGTTTAGCTATAACAATCAAATAAAATTAAGCATACCTAGGATACTTGGTAGGAAACTCATGATCTTGACACAGAAATAAACACCCATGGGGTCAAATGAATTCTTCAATTTATCCATTTGCTTCTTCATGAGTTGTATGTTATTCTTAAAGTCATCCACTAGATCAATTGGAATAGTCATCATTGCAAAATTATTCTTTAGTTAGAAGTCTTCCACTGTATTAGGAGGTTCCCGCAAACTGATCTGCATTGATAAGTTCATTTTTTATGTCTTATCATCACCTTTCAATTTCAAGTACTACTTGAGTGATTAACTTGTCACTGTCATTAAAACATCATTAATAGTAACACCATATTTCTTAGATAGTTTTTTTATTTCTTCTATGGAATAATCCTTGCTCATGACTGCGTTTTTCTTACCAGTGAGCGGCTTTCCGTTTTTAATAGCATTCTTTTGCTTTCTCTCAAAGAATAACTATTTTAGAATAATCTTTATTCCTACTAGTGGCGTTACTACATACATCACAATCTTTTCAAAGAAAGAAAATTTCCTCATCTAGGGCAACTAGCTTTTATCATATTTATCTTGTAAATTAGTCAATAGTGTGACTAGAGCTAAACCATCTCCAAGACAATGATGGGCCTTGAACATAAAAGCGACTTCAGTTTTGCTCATATTAGGAAAGAATACTGTCTTAAACTACACTTAATCAAATGGATCTCTAATTTGTGCTTCCTTTGCCATTAAATCAGCTAGGTCTTGTTCTGATCTGACATTCTCATCAGTCTGGCAAAACCTTGAAAGCTTAGCATTAAACTCCTCATCATCCATTCTTTTGTAATAGTATTTGCCCATAATCTTAACTAACTTGGCTCTAGTTCTGAAAAATTTCTTTGCTTTATCATAGAGCTAACGCTTAAGATCATCTATATTACACTTTTCCATGATAATTGCGCCTATATAACTTTATTATTTCATATTTATCTTTACTGCAAATATTAGCAACATTTTTAGCATCATCAAGAATGAACATTTCATCAACTGCAGAAAGTGCTTCTAGTCCAAAAAGCAACTTCATAAGCACATTATTCATAAAGTTCAAGCAGGAGCATATAATAAAACCCTGTAGCCAGCCAAACTAATATATAATGACGGCTGCGATAGTCATCCGTAGGGACAGAAAAAATACATCGCCTATAGGTAGTTTCATATTATCTAATATCGCTTATTATATAATTATTTAAATGTACAAATTTATATTGTTTTAACACTCCTTTTAATGAGAGTCAAGAGACTATGCTTGGGGTTTTGGGGTTTTGGGGTTTTGGGG